TGAAGGTTAAACGGTTTGTGTCCAAGTCGATGTTCATTTTGATGCTCTCTTGCAGTCGTTATTCATGACTGAATTGTTTCGATGATGGGTTGGAGCGCCTCACATTTGATATTTGAAGCGAATCAGTGTGCCCAGGTTTCTCGAACATTGACAGAACTATAGATATCTGAGTCTTAACATGCAGGATTATGAGTTTGGGGTCTGTAAGTATCTGAGAAAACCTCCCGGGCAAAAGTTGGAGTTATCGCAAACCACTCTCCTCTGAGAGGCAAAAGCTGGCCACAGCACAGCAACTGAAAGCGAACTTGCTTGCAACAAGTAACATGCATTTGAAGCAGGAACCAGCGTAGCCTATATTATTTGTAAAACCGAAACGTCGGGCGTCATTAATCTGGGTAATTAGTCCTTGACCCTAATTATTATGATAGCAATAACTTGATATACAGTCCAAGGTTTCGAGATTGAGAAACCACAGCAGCAATGGTTTTTGCATGTCTTGCGAATACCTCCAGAAAGGTGGGTAAAGCCGCCATTTAATTAACCGACAGGCGTAACACCCGGAATGCGACTGGAAATGACTTTAGCAAGAACGGCGAGGAACTCTGGTCCGTATCTGAGCATCATGTGCCTGAGCGCTGTCCTTGCCCTTGCTCAGGATCAGGTACGCTGGAGGTACATATTGAGTCTGCTTCCGTTTCTTAAAGGAGTAGTGACTGATTAATCACGACTATCCTTTATTTCATAAATACCGTTCTTAAATTTTGTAGTTGGACTTTATGAATTACGTTGTCATCTGCAACGATGACATTAATGCAATTTTGACGCACTGCGCACTAAGGATAGCGTAGAATCATTTCCGCCATATTTTCACTTTTGATAACATGAATTTGTATTATGCACCTAGCGTACGAAAATAACTTTCTTTGCGTTTGAAACAATATAGATTTTGAAAAAATTTTAGGTTAGATTGAAAACTTTCCGTTTCGACGTTGAGCTTTACAGAATACATGGCTACAACAAAGTTTGATGTTGATATAATGTGAAATTAGTGCTGTATCATGTTAAATTGCTGAATGGATAGACTGAAATTAATGGATATGAACAAGAATTGCATTGGGTAAAAATTAGACGATCTCTTAGCGTTAAAACTATCATAAGCACCATTGTCTAAAAGGATCCAAATATTGATTGGCAACTGATTACTTCAGGTTTTAATACTACTAGATTCTAATTAGAAATTTAGTGCAGAAGCACAATAATGAACCGGCTCTGTAAACACCCAAAACGCTGCTTGGCATAACATACGCTGTCAGCGTACATGAAAGTAAAAATACTAATGCATATTTTCTGTGGCAGTATAGAAGACCGAAATGAATTCAGAATATTACTTGCCGTCGAAGAAACCCAAACGCCATTTCATATGAATTCAGTGAATTATTACTGACCATTACAACAAATGCACTTGGAAACTATAAGCAGAACCACTACAAAACTGGAACGGGAGCAAGTAAAACATAAAAGTTTAGGATGAACGCTTTGCCGCGATGCAGAAAAATTTTCTCTATTTCTCGAAGTACATATCGGTCTCTTCCATTCTGGTTTTACGTTGATTACGTTCAAGCAGAATTTAGCTATTTTCTACACTTAAAAAGGAAGAATTTGCAGTACAATTCAATCAATGAAGGATCAAATTTTACGTAAAGATCAATGTACTTTGCTACTAGAAAACGCATTCAATGTTGTTTGCAACTGTACTGATTGGTTGATTGCTGAGAAAGCTAATAAATGCGATTACAGCTTGTAAGTTTTACCAGCGTAAAGCGGTAGTTTTATGCAAAGTTGGCAAAATAAACTATCTTCCAGAGAAGGATTTGATGTTGAATCCAAAGCTCGCTGATGGCGAAGATGCTAGATCAGGATCAGAATTTCGAATTCATACAGATTTGCTCCGACAGACCTAGCTTTGTCGCATTTTCCAGCGGCTAGTGGGCGCACGGCATTTTCTTTGCACAGTAGAAAGCTTGATGGCTGATTCTGCTACGCTGCATTAAATCGAAACTTTTTGTATTATCAGCAACTAAGAATTCAGTTTAACAATTCGGCGTGACAGCCTAACGCATTTGGCAGCAAAGAGAGTTAGTGAAAAAAATTTAACGTATTCCGTTATCGATTATGTATACACTGTAAAACTAGTGATATCGAAACAACACCTTACTTTAACTTAAATGCTTTATGAGCAACCTGGCCAGGTATTAGTTATCATCGGCGAATCGATGCTTGCGCTTGATCAACAAGTGATAATCTTTGCAGGTAAAAATGTGATATATGACATATAAGTAATAAGTGGATATGTTTTCAGTACATCAGTGACGTTCAAAGCAGACAACCAAAAATGACCAAAGGTCTAATTAAGGTGCTGACTGAAGAATATACCGAGCTATGAACATGAAAACAATGGTTCCGATCAATATGCAAAAAGTTGAGAGAGTGGCAAAACCATTCTGCGAATTTGCGGTTAACCGGGTAGCATTCTTTCGCACTTCTTCCTTTTCTTCAGGGCAATCACACTTGTGGACTTCTTCCCGCTCTTGAACAATCCTTTCAATTTTCTAGAAATAATTAGCAGATCGTTTGGACTAGTTATTAATATTTCACAAAACGATTCACACAAAACTCTCGGAGTAAAGCTCAGTTCGCACCGACAGACCGCACAGGTCGATGATCAGTGCTACTGAAAAAAGGGTTCTACAAGCAGGCCTGTAACTAATGGAATTTGGGACATACAGAATATATTATGAGCTCAAAGTTTAAACTGAAAATCATTCCACATTTAACAGAGGCCAGTTAACAGAACAAACATGCCAGATTACTCAAATGTTTAAATTACTGACGTACCATATACATCCTACTTGGCTACAATGGGGTGATTGTTCAAAAGAATCAGCAGCATTTTTGTTCCTAAAGGAAATTAAACTGTGACAAGAGAGTCAACGCTTGCATGCTACATAACCTCTTCTTCATTTACGTATTTTAAGAACCAGGCAATATGCGCGACTTTGAGACACTCCTGATGAAAAGAATCGGCAGCGGATTTGTTTGAGGAGATCGAAACCTTCAGCAGTCAAATTATGAGAATATCAAGCTAATACTTCCACAACTTCATCTACCAGCCGTATGCACTCAGTATGCACTTTCCCGCCCGCGGAAAACGTAAAAAACCACTGTTGAAGGAAGTACAGAAACATTAGTCTTAGCAGAATAAAATCCCATTCATAGCTTGAAAATTAAAAGAGTGCAAAAACCTGGCGAAAGCCAATTTAAATGAATAAGTATTTATCAAATGAGTAATAAAAAATTCTGATATAAGAGGAATAAGGTAGAGTATCAATATCAACTGAGCACTTTTTTTAGAACTGTCAACAAATGACTGGGTATAACTTTTAGCGTTGGTTTAGTCAGCACATGAGCTACTGCTCCTGAAGAGGTTTCATACATTATTGTTGAATCTAGCAGTGATCTCAATGATTGGGTAATTTTTCACATAGTTTACAAAGCAATATTTAACACACCTAAAACATGGGCTAGAGCAGAACTTAAACAATATCTCTGCTGGTTTATCGGCGGTCCATAGTGACTCAGATGTTAAATAACTTATAACTTATACATAAGTAGAATAGCGTAAACAACAATTAAACCAACATTTAATCGAGAGTCATATCCGGAAAGTCGACTGAAATGACAAGGCATTTCTCCTGAGCAAAAAAGGGACAGAGTCATTATTTTGTCACATAGTTGTCCCAAGTAATAAACAAATTAAAGCGGTCATACCAAAAAATAACTCACTTTGACAACTTCAGGAAAGTGCTTTCGGAAACTCTTCGACATAAGGTTATAGTCCAAACTCGCATATGCAAGTCTTCTTTTCTAAAAAATAAATATTATCATATCCGTACTCAGACTAAGGAAGTGGTTACTTCTAGATAAGTTGTGTCTACGGCGCCATATGTTGGAGTTGACTCGAGCTGAAATCATCAACACCGTAGTTACAGGCACTAATACTGGAAAACTGCATTAAAATGGAAAAATTATATACAACGCAAAAAGCCAGTCTATCGGATGACAGACTATTATCGACGTTTGGCAATAAAGCAACAACAATGAAAACTCAAGTAGAAGTGTCATTATTACAAAGCGTTTTATACAGCAACTACATAAAAATTTGGATGTAGGCACACTGGCTATTCAACGTCAGTATCATCATCAAAGATGATCTGTCACCGGATTCTCCGTGATAAATGTTTTTGACGCGTTGACGAAGTTAGCATTTCCAGTCATTACGTAGCATTGTCGATACAGAAAACCTGGGACATGATTTCCAAAATCTCTGGTTGCTGATCCACCCGATCCGAAAATCTTCTGGCACCTTGTGGCATGAAAACAGGTACAGCGGAGTATGCAATTATGTATTCAGGCACAGAAATCAAAATTTTACCGTTTTTGAGATCGACTATTTCATATATCACTACTTCATCGAGATATATCACTACTTCATTAAAATCAAAAACAATGCTCTAGCTCATTAAATGATACAAAATGCAGCGATAAACAGTAGGTGCTAAAATGTCATGAAGCTATAGCTTTTCCAAAGGCCTTAAGCATTTATGAACTGGGAACAGTATCACAATAACGGATTAGTAGAGCTATGCACGCTGTCAAACTGATGTGGTAGATGACAATTAAAGACTAACACAAAAAATATAATTACAAAATTATATAAGATGATTCTGAACGGAATTATTTCACAGACGCTAACAAAGTGTGCGATGAGTTAGAGTATGTTCGAACCACTCCTAAACGCTACACACAAAAGTAAGGTTATCCTTTTCATACGATTTAGGACGGGATGCAGAATTACGTTCCGGATCAACGGTTCAAAGCATACTTTAAAATTATTATAATACCAACTTAATATGTGGATTAGTCAGGTATTAACATAATGTAATTATTGAATATAAAGTAACAAGGTACAAACCATGAAACTTAATAGGCCAGTTAAAATAGTTCCGACAGACCAGCCAGGGTTCCATGTGTCAGGGTGAAAGTCGCTAATGGACAGACAAAGTCGGGTATTAGTGTGAAACCTTCCATTCGGGGTAAGGATGTAGATGCTTGGCGGCTTGAACGGATATTCAGAAGGAAAAACGAGCTTGCCATAGTAAAATCCACCTAAAGGTACGGATTACGATCAAGACAAGCAATCATCAATGACACTTACCATCGTACGGAGTGTTAGGAGGGCCTTCAATGACATAATGCCACTCCAGGATGTTGGAGCAACTGGGAACAGCCGTTACATAGGGTACAGGATCAGCAAATAAGCGTTTAGCATCTTTAAACAGTCGTGCAGTTGCCGTGATCATCGCAACTGTTTATGGCATATATTTCGCATTCAGTGAAACTTTACTCCCGATCTGCATGAGTGATGGAACTTCTATTACAGCTAAAAGAAATTTTTAGAATTTTAGTTACAGCATGGACGTGTTGGGAAACTGGCTTGGCTTCTTGTACCGGCCATCAAAACAACATAACCTGTGGCATGGAACAAAAACAAAGTCTACTCAAGGTTGCTAGCGAAGCACCCTCTACACACCCTCCATGGTAGCCAAAAACTACCACATCACTTAACTTGAAGGCCGGTGCCATACGAACCGTAACGTCGGATTCAATATATCATTTAGACAGCCATATTAAATTGCATATAAAGAAAAGTGCAGTTTTTCAGCATGACTATCAACGGAGAAACTAAAGCAGTGATTTTAATATTCAACGCTTTCAATCACTTAACCAAATCAGCCGAATGTCGGGTCAAAATCACCTAAAATCAAGTCATCAGGCAAAAGTTACTTTGGCCTTGGCGGGGCGGCGGTAATCGATATAACTACATGATAAAATGGAATGTACCCCCAGAAATCACAAACGGCCTGCACTATGTTCAGAAATCAGAGGTAAGCAAATGACTTGATGAAGAAAAAGACAATAGCCTGCCTCACTAATTTCTCTTAGGCACCTGAAATGCGAATATATCGCTTCCTTAAAACGCAGAGAGCCGATCTTCATAATTATCCAGTAATTGAATGAGCAATGTGAAACACAGATTGTTAAACTTTCGCAGCTTAACATGACTGCAGATGGAGCAACGTATCGTATATCCACTGTCACGCTGTTCCAATTTTTAAGACCTGATCGACTGGCCATTCGCTTTTAAACCTATGAAGCTGAAAGACCGTAGGATTAGACTATTCCATCAATGAATTACTTGAGTAATTTGCCTTCCCTTCAAAGATCTGAATCTTGGTCATTGAAATAGGTTGTAGGGCAAATGGAATAACCCAAGACCAACCCAGGCATTTCTGAAATGATAATCTTCAGATCAAGCAATCCATTTTGCAGTCGTCAGTATTTTACACGGATAAGGCACCGCCAGCAAAACAAAACGTTCATAAATAGTGTGAACTGATATTTGCTTAAAACTGCATATATAACATATCGTAGAAGAAAACAAAAACAGCAAATATTCGGTCGAGGTACCGCATTGTTATTTTCAAAAACAAGTGCAAAAAAATTTACTTTGAATGAATCACTGTCACCGTTAAAAGAAAACGGAATAAATAAACATATGAAAAGAATCAAATAATAAAATCGGAACCCCAATGTATATTAAAATCTACCATTGCCATTGCAATGCGAACGAAACGAATAAATTTCTTGCTCCTTAATAAAATGCGAAACGATTGGAATGTACGGATGAATTCTTGACCACACAGGAAGCATTTGATTATTCAGATGTCTCTAAAAAGCAAACACTTAAAAATGGATACCGAACAAATGGGCAGAATGCAGCCTTTATGAATTTAATTCCAGACAAGGGTCCAAAAAGAGCACTTGCAATACATATAAGCAAAGCCGTATTACTTGTTAGGTCGTCTGTAATAATAATCGTCTGTGATAATTATCTGTTCGCAGCGACAAAGCAACTTAATCATAAGTGTTTACAAATCAAATTCTCAACGTACCTTTCCTCTAAAAATAAAAACAGGTCTGGCTTAATATATGTCATTGTCTCTAATTCACGACAGTTGAATCTACAAGGCGAATACTCCTATGAATATTCAAAAGCCGAATAAAAATCAGCACATGAGATAAACCACAAACTTCAGAAACTTTCTTAAACTTATTTTCAGTCGGTCTATGTAGAGACGACACAACAGAACATTAATAACTGGACCAACATGTTATCACGTCTTCCATGATAAAGCAGTTCTCGCTAATCTGAAATTTCAACTGGTAATATCTGGTTGTTCAGAGATCACCAAATTCTTGAAAAAACTGAATATATACTTATATATAAGACACACATATGTATACTTGAGGATACTTAATTCAGAGATACTTCAATTTCCTGTCTTCTACCTTCGATGTACAATTCTTCAAAATCTTACGTTCTTAGTCGCTACGGGCATCTAAGTAAAGCCTGCCATCTAGGCGTTAACTTGTGTCAAACTCAAAAATTTGCCTTGAAATACTGC